TTAAAAAAAAAGAATATGCAAGTGAATAATAATAGAAAGTTTACTCCCACTACTAATCAAAGAAATACAAAATAAAATACTTTTTACCTATTAAATTAGCAAAAACTTAAAATAATGCTAGCAGGAATTTGGGGCTGCCACTCAGCTGGTGCGGGTAAATTTCTGTTTCTGGAAAGTGCTTTGGCAATATGAAGAGCTTCAAAAGTATTTGTAGCCTTTCACCAATTAATTTGACTTCAAATATCTCTCCTAAGGAAGGATTCCAGATCAAAAATGCTCATCACAACATGTATAATAGAAAAATCAGAAATAACTTAAATGTTCAACATCACAATAATGGTTAAGTAAATGATAATCCATGTGTCATGGGCAATCAGGAAGAGACAAAATATTTTATCATGGGACGTGTTAATGATCTGGGGACAGGCAAGCTACAAAACTATGTACTTTAATAGTTTTAAGAAAACGTGTGATGAGAAAAAAAAGAGTATTAGAAAGGTAATGCTCCTAAAAATTACTGGTGTCCGTTTCTAGGTGGTAGGATTATGAGAAACTTTCTTTTCCTTTTCCTTTTCAGTATTTTTCAAATTTTCTACAGAGAAAATAAATTGTGTTCTTTAGAAAAAATATTTGAAAGGAAAATTATTTTTTAAGACTTTACTTACAGGGAAAAATACTAAAAACATCAAGTAGGTTCTGTATATGATTTGATCAGTGTGGGTTTATATATATATATAAAAGAATGCAATCAAGGATGACACCTTTGAGTGGAGGGGTTGTAGAGGATTTTGTGTGTATGTGATGGTTCCTGCTTTTCCATATATGTCCTCAAAGAGCATGTATTATTATAATCATAAAGGGGGATTATTCTCTAAAAACTGCTAAAATTTGTAGCTGTCTTTTTTAAGTGAGAAAATAAGTTCCAAGAGTTTAAGTATCTTCTTCAAGATCCCACAGCTAGGAAATATCAGAACAAAAGTGTCTGTTATGCTTGACTTCAGAGTCAGTGCATCTGACCACACAGCAGATGAATATGCTAGGAGCCTGAAAAGGCCACATGAAAGCAATGCCATTGTCCTGAGAGATGAGGTCAGTTATTCCATCACTGCACATCCAAGATGGGATATCAGATGAGGGATCACATAATCACTTTGATAAGTCCAAGCTATTCCTCCCAGTAAGCTTCCATACTTACATTAAATTTTATTTTCTT